TGACCCCAAGGCACAGCAGACCTCTCCTGTCTCAGCCACTGCTCCCCTCAGCAGTGTACTTCATCAATGTGCCTTTTCTGCTCCCTACTCTGCCTCTGGTGAATCCTCTCACTGCCCCTGCACCTCTGGCCTGTACCCCAGCTCTGTATGCATAAATGAAAACAGTCTCTGGTGTCACAGACCTGACCTGTTTTAATAGCTGTCGCCATTAAATTGCTCCATTCAGTGTGCAAAGATTATCAGGATATCTTCAACACACCAACATTTACCAAAAGTAGTGCAAAGAATACATCTGCACGCACAATTCAAGAACTAAGGACCGAAGTCCATCAATTCACTCTATTAGTTTACAACCTACAATAATTTTCAACTTTCATAACAAAATTCTAAAGTTTTCTACATTCTATAAATTTTCAGTAATGTGTTCAAATATTAGTCTCCTTTTTCATAACTCACAACTTTTTTCTTAACTATATCATGCTTTTACTTTCAACTTGTAGATCTCAACTCTGAAATAAATCAGCCTGAATTGTAATTTTCTATATACTTTTTATTTTTTACTTATACTTTTTCTATATACTTTTATTTCATAATACTTAAACTTTACTTCGTTATAAATGACATTCACTATCTTTAAAACTTCTCCTGCTGGCCAAAAGTAGATGACTGGATTAGAAAGATGTGGTACATATATACAATGGAATATTACTCAGCAACCAAAAAAGAGAAATACATGTCTTTTGCAGCAACTTGGATGGAGCTGGAAAAGATCATGCTTAGTGAGATAAGCCAGAAAGAGAAAGAAAAATACCGGATGGTTTCACTCATAGCAGGAGTATAATGGACCAGGCGAGAAAATAACAAAAATAATGAACAACCATAGACCAGAGACATTCTGTGGGGGTGGAGTGGGGAATGGGATCAAAAACGGGGGGGGGGGGAAGGGAGGGAAATGCACGGGACTATGGTGGTGGCACAGGGGTGATTTGGTGATGCGAAACCCGAGGGGATTACAATTGAGATGAAAAAAAAATGTGAAAAATGATGTAAAAATAAACTTTTTAATAAAAAAAAAAATAAAAAAAAAAAAAACTTCTCCTGCTGGGCCTGACTGATGGTCCAAGGGGTTAAATCTCAGGACAATGAGGCTATCATCTTGCTGCCTCTTCTGTCTGCCCCCTGCTCCCCACAGCAGCATATTTCAGTCACCTGCCTGTTCTGTTCCCCACTCTGTCTCTGTGAATCCTCTCACCCCAGCTCCCATCTCCCTGACATCTCTGGCCTATTCCCCATTTCTTGAATGCATAAATAAAATAAATCTTTTTGAAAAAGAATTCTAGTTTCCACTATGTCAAAGAGGTTCTGTGTTCATTATCTTAAACAAATAAAATTTTAACTGGATTATATATGCATATTCATATGCATGGCTTGTCACAAAAGTTTTAAGAAAAATGGTTCTTTTAAGAAACACAGTGCTCAAGATGTGGTCTATACACACCTCAGATTATTATATAACACAAGAAAGGAGGTAATGCAGCCTTTTTCGACAGACTATAGGAATTTAAAAGAATTATCCAGAGCAAAGGAAGTCAGAACAGTGAAAACAAATATTAGACATCATATTACAGAAAATACAACAATGTAAAACACAAAGTTGAGAGGGGGCAGGGGACGCAACAAAGAAACACAAAAATGGTGGCGGGGAGGACATGCAACATGAAAACAGGAATTTAAACATGCAACATGAAAACAGGAATTTATGTTTTAAAATGTGTTTGCAGGAATTATCTCTTGCAGAGGGAAATATGAATATTTAATTAGTACGATCTTATTTAAATACATTAGAACATTGAATTGCTTCCAATTTGCTTGTCACAACACTCAAGAGAAATGATTGTTTAATTCAGCTCTTTTCAAGAAAACAAATGAAATGTTGGATTACCAGAAGTTATTCTTCTGCAAGTTAGAGCATATTTAAGTATTCTATAAAATGACACAAAAACAAATATTAAATTATTTTACAGTACTGATAGACTAAAGCAGTCCTAATCTTGGGGCATCTTTGTAAAAACTAATCTAATAAAGAAAAATACTGATAATACTCCATGTATTGAACAATCCAACCATCTGAACATTATATAAATGAGGGCTCTAATTACACCTCAGTGAAAATTTTCTATATACATACTGAATATTATTTAGATTTCTTATAACAGTTCTTATAAACTAAAATTGAAAGCAATAGTACAATACACACACAAAGGATTAAAGTAAGTATAACAGTGATTATCCAAGGAAACAGTGCTGTGCTTTCTCTATTTCCCATTTTTGTGACGCTTTTATTAAAATATTTGGGAAAAGTACATATATATATATATTTAAAGATTTGTTTATTTACTCATACAGAACTGGGTTACAGGCCAAAGGTGCAGGGGTGGTGAGAAGCTTCACTAAACACAGTCAGGAGCAGACAGGCAGCTCAATGAAGTACACTGCTGAGGGGAACAGCGGGCAGTCAGGAGTGGTCTGCCACGCCATGTGGATCACCTCTGGGGCCAGCGATGTAACTTGCACTGAAGTGGCTGCAGCCAGCTTGCAGTGCTTCATCCTAATCCATTGTGCCACGAGGAAAGGTCCCAGTATATATATATTTTAAGCAAAAGTCCCAGGCATCAAATTAAAACCACAATGAGATACCACCTCATATCAGTAAGAATAGCACATCCTAAAACAGTTAGCAACAACAAATGTTGGCAAGAATGTGGAGAAAAGGAACTCTCCTGCACTGCTGGTGGGGATGCAAACAGTTTTCCACTATGGAAAACTGGAGGTTTTTCAAAACTGCGAAACATGGAGCTTTCCATGTTCCACCCAGCAATCTCGCTCCTACATATCTACCCAAAAGACACAAAAACACTAATTCAAAAAGATACCTGCACCCCCATGTTTATTGCTGCTTTATTTACAATAGGAAAGACATGGAATCAAACCAAATGCCCAAAAGTAGATGACTGGATTAAAAAGATATGGTACATAAACACAATGGAATAGTACTCAGCGATCAAAAAGATAAACTCATGCCTTTTGCAGCAACATGGATAGAGCTGGAAGGGATCATGCTCAGTGAAATAAGCCAGAAAGAAAATGAAAAATACTGAATGGTTTCACTCATAGCAGCAGCATAAAGGACTGGGGTGAAAAAAATAATAATAATGAGCAACTATATACCTGAGATATTTTACAGGAGTGGAGTAGGGAATGGAATAAAAAATGGGGGCAGTGCATGGGACTATGTTGATGGCACACAGGTGGATTGGAGATCGGAAGCCCACAGGGATTGCAACTGAGAAGGAAAAAGGCACAAAATGATGTAAAAATAAACTATTATAATGAAAAAAAGAAGAAGAAAAGAAAAGTTCCTGGCATCAAGAAAGGAATTACAGGGGCAGTGGCCTTTTCTAAAATGACAAATTATCATCCTTGGGTTCACAGTTATATTAACACTGGTGAGGTTTCACATTCCTCAGCACACAATGGATCTTTTATCAATATTGGAACCTTTCTTTGTGAGAATATTTGCTAAGAATGGATGGAATTCTGAGTACTACAAGTACCCATTGAAATATTTAAAAGAACAATGAATGAATGACTAATTAGAAATATTTCTTAAGCTAGAGATATTTATGTTTCAAAAGAAAAGACCTAAATCTAGCTCTTTTTTGCAGTCAGGAAGAACAGATTAAGTCCACTGACTGTGGACATCAGCTCCCAAATGACTTGCCATCAAACTATAAGAGTTGTTTTCTCCTTGACCAACTAATGACTTTCAGTCCAACTTGATTCATGTTTATTTGCTTGAATTTCTGTTTGATTATACATACACTTTGCTTTGCTAAAGTAAAACTAAACCATCAGTAAAATGAAACTCAATTTTCATGTCTTCCCACCCTAAAGAGGTACACTTTTAAATGAGCAACTATAAAACAGCAAAATAAAAACAAGAGTACTAGATGAAAATCTATCAAAAACTATCATACAATAGGATACTGTTTCATAAAGTTAAAACCAATTACAAATACAAACTCTTTGGGAACTACTAAAAAATTATAAACAATAACTACAAGAGAATGCTGGTTTATATTAAGGAAGGCTAAGGATGGATGAATGATAGGATGATATGACTGGATTGCTGCCATAGTCCTAGTTTTCATTTTTGGTGGTAGTCTCAGGTGACTGTTACATTAATGATAAATGATTGATTGATAGATAAAATAGACAAACTAAAACAGAACAAGTATGAACCAATATCAAACATATGTTATGAACCAAGGAGTCTATTAAGGATCCTTGAAGTAAAATGATGTGATATGACATGATATGATATGAAAATAAAAACTGTTTAGAGCATGCAGGTTAATACCCAACCTAGATCCCTGGATCAAACCCAAAAGTCATCCATCCAGCAATTTCTGCTTATATTTTCCTAACAGTTTCTACTGTACTGTATAAAGGAAAATGTTCTCCAATAAATGTGCAACCTGATGCCATCACTAATGGACCTTCTTCATGTTTAAACATGAAGAAAAAAACAAGTGGCATAGAGGAAAATGCTGATTCATCTACTGAAAATTCTCACAGGCTTTTTAAACAAATATCTAGTTGTTCATATGCATGCTTTCAATACTTATTAGATGCCAATTCTATGTCAAATCTCATGATAACCACTGGGAACCTCAAACTTATGAACAGAACAGTCCTAACAAATACTTGAGTCTAGTCCATCACCTTACAGACAGCCCCAGAATCAACCTATTACTCATGTCAAAGAATCAAGGTAAATTTTCAGGCTTTTTATTTCAGGATACTTTTTTCATAATAAGCAAATAAGCTAACAGTGAAGCAGCTCATTGGCTGTAAAAAATTTTTAAATGTCAAATCCCTATTATAAGAATTAAGAAAAACAGATGAGATTTAACATAAAAAACTGCTGTTTGTTTTACCTGCTATTTCCAAAAGCAGGTCTATGTGATCTCCTTCTGCCAGCTTCACAAATCCAATCTGACTGGTAAAAGTGTCAACTCCTTGAAAGGGCAGAGACAAATGTTTTCCTTGGAGAATTTCTTCTACAACTGGTTTTAATTCCAAAAGTGCATCAATACCACTGGTAAGAGAGAATATATATTTTCCAGTAATATAATAAGTAATAAATATACAAAATCAAGAAAGAAATAAAATAATCAGTTTCAGAAAGATAACTCAATTGGTATTTGTGCTAACCATTTCAAGGCTTAAATACCTTAGAACTCTATATAACTAAAACAAACCTGATGTTAATTTTTTCTAAAGATTTATTTTATTTATCCACGCACAGAAGAACTGCAGTGTAGGTCAGAGGTGTGGGGGAGTGACAGGATTCACCAGAGACAGAGTGGGGAGCAGAACAGGTAGATCCACTGAAATACACTGCTGAGGGGAGCAGCAGGAGAGAGAGGAAAAAGGTCTGCTGCACCATATGGGTCACCTCCCTCTCTGGGGATGGAATTCAGGTCACAGCTGTGATAGCCAGATAATGCTGAGACTTAACCTCTAAGACACCAGGAAGGCCCTGATATTAATTTTTAAACAATATGGGAGTTAATTAAATGTTGACCTATGAAGGATAGAACTAGATTCTTGGTGAACTTAATGTAGTTAAGTTATACTAAACTATAACATTGATCTATTATGCACTATAAAAGTTATATAATGTAATAATACAATGCTACTTCAATAAAAATAAATTTAAAAAATTTAATTATCAACTTATTTGTAACTTATAGCACACTGAAGACATGAAGGAAAATACTACTTAATAGTTCATGAGGGAGTTTAACCAAGGAACTGCTGCATGGACTACTCAAAAGAAAAAAAATACTGAAAATATGTTCCAAATCCCTAGTACCTACAAGAGCTTACATTATGTGTAACATTCTGAATTCTTATTAAGGGTACTTAACAGTATTACCATTTTCAAGGCATCCTATGAAAACTTAACATACATTATTTCTTAAAATGTCTCTTAAAATGCCTTTCAATAAGGTAATCTACTATACCTGTATTTATATAAAATATAGTTTTATTTTGTCCAAATACTGTTTAATATGTTATAGTTGTTTTCTCTATGTGACCATAGGGCTGCATGTATTTCAAATGCTTTATGTTTCTTTATGGAAATAAATATTTACTATATTAATAAATTAGACGTGTTTTTTAAGTTAAGATCAATTATTTCCATCTTGAAGAGAATCTAGTACAAGTACCTGATTATGAGAAAAAACAAAATTTCACTAGAGGGCAGCAATTACTCAAAAAAGAAGGAAGCGCATTTTTACATTATGGAAAGTCCAGTAAAGCACCCATGAATTTAAATTTAAGGTCTGCTAAACCCCCATGAATTTAAATGATCTTAATCAGTGTTTTGTTCCCCAGTAATTTACAATTCAAATTTTGAAAATATTTAGGTATTTTTCTATATCATTCACATTTCTAAGTTACTCTTTCTACAGTTTTTGACTGATTTTTTTGTTTTAAATTACATTATTTTTTATTGCCTTAATATTGGTTTCCAACACTTGTATGATGTAGAGGGACAGTTTCGCACCTCCTTAGATTATGTCATCATACCACACCCAACCATGGGGCCTCCATAAACCTCCACTGTTGTCCACAGATTCCCGTTTTTGTCCCTGGTCCTCACTTTCTCCTTCTAGCACCTTCAGCATTACAGTCAGATCTCTAGGGTTTGTTTTGGTTTAGTTCTGTCAATCCCTTTGTTTTCCTTATATCCCACATGAGTAAAACCACTCAATATTTGTCTTCCTTCTGACTTATTTAACATAATCCCCTTCAATCCACTTTCACCACTACTATTCAACACAGTATTGGAAGACCTAACTAGGGTAACTAGGTAAGAGAAAGGTATAAAAGTGGCCCAGGGTCCTCCCTAGTGGCTCAATGGGTTAAAGCACAGCACTATGAAGCTGGCCTCAGTCACTTCATGAGTTCTACTCCTAGCCAGGGAGGTGATTCACATGGCGCAGCAGACCTCTCCTCACCGGCCCACTGCTCCCCTCAGCAGTGTACGTCATTGATCTGCCTGTTTTGCACCCCACTCTGACTCTGGTGAATCCTCTCTCTGGCCTGTGTCCCAGGTCTGCATGCATAAATAAGTAAATATTAAAAACAAAAAAGTGATCCAAACTGGGAAAGAAGTAAAAACATCAGTTTGCAGACAGTCTGATATACATAGAAAGCCTTTTTACTGATTTTCATCTATGACCTCCACACTGAATCTGATTTCTCTCATAATATACAACACTTTAAAATAACTTCCAAAATATCAATATTCTCACCGTATTGCTAGTCCATACCCTAAATCCAAGTAACTTCCTATGCTCATCCAAAAAGACACTGTGGACCCCTTGCAATGCTGTTCTTCACAGGTGTGCTATGAGTGGAAATATGTAAAAACAGAACAGTCGCTTCTGACTCATCTGTTATAAACTGGGGGACTTCAAGATACTCATTTAAATAAAACGAGAATAAAGCAGGTCACACTAAAGGTCAGGACTTTTCGGAGACAGGAAATTCTATACCCCATGTTTCTTTGAAATAATTGAGATGATCTAGATTCAGTTCAGTTTTTCAGTTCTCTAGTAGCATAAATCAGCAAGTTAGTCCTACCAAGATGTCACTGATCGCCGTGTAGAAGCATAGTACCTGTTGGTAAGTAACATGAACTTTCAAATTCCTTTAAATAAAACTGTTTTAAAGAGTGATTAATGGAAAGCCTGTTTTGTGGCAAACTGAATAAAAAGGATATACATGTGAGAAATGAAATTCTGAAACTGGTGTTCAGAGCCACAGGTGCCATTTCCAATGAAGTTAAGATAGCTATCTTATAAAATTTGCAGTAGGCTTGGCTTACTATATGTCTGATCCTTTCTTCCACACTGTAGGGTACAAAGGACTTTAGGCAATATCTTCCTGAAGAAATTTATGATTTTTAAAAGACGTCTCTGCACCCTCCTTATCTAACCCATTACCAACACTCACACATGTAAAATATGACACTAGATCATGACAAGAAAGAATCTATTATAGAATAAGAAAGTGACAATCTGGCTGCCTAGCATATTACATAGTATAGAGTGAAAAATAAAATCAAAATATTACAGACTCTGATAAATAATCTTATCAGAAAGTACATTAGTTTCACTCTTAGTATATAACTGCCTAAATGGGCCACATCTTACATTTTCAACATCATCTGAAAGTTGAAACTAGGGTAGCAAACCCTTTTCTGTTTCTACTATAGTAGTATAGGTCATTAAGGTATCTAGTCAACTAAACTGTCTAATCCGTAAGCACAAGTCCATTCCTGACTCATCTTTAACATCCCCACATTACTTAGCTTGGTATCTTGCACATGGTAGACAATTCATGTTGGCTGAACTGCAAGATGTTATCCTGTCAATTTAACAAACTTTATTTCATCAGGGTTTCATTAATAAATCAGTCAAGAGTGATAACTAAATTGCAAATACCTGACATCATTTTCTTTCTTTTTTTTTTTTTTTCAGAGAAACCATTCCCAAGGACAGCATTAGAATGCCACTTAATTCTTCAACCACAAAGCAACTTAGTAAGCATTTCATTTATTACATAAATTTGAAAGGTATTTGCAAGCAGACCAGGTCAAACACAGAGCTGAATGCTTTAGTGACACTGCTCTGCACAATTAACTCCTTAGTGAGCAGATACTGTGATTTGGACATGGTGACATGTTCCACTTCACCATGGTCCCACAGCAGAAACTCTGACTTTTGCTGTCTCTTCCAGTCCTCTAAACTCTCGTTTACTAACTTTTCCCTCTGCTCTCACGCACTTGTGTTCATCTTCTTCCTCCTGTGTCCACTCCACACCCCTCTCTCTTTCTCTCTGCCTTTCTAAGACTGACTGAGGGGTAACTGAAATTGTCCACTGGCCTTGTGGGGTGGCAGCTCTATAATAAACACCTACTATCTGTCATGTCCTACACGAAGAACTCGTATCAATCAGTACTATTTTTTTTTTCCCCACTTACTTAAAAGTAAAAGATTGGACCAAATTCAGGCAGCTAATAAGAGACAGCTGTGCTATGGTTCTAGAATCTTTACCGAGAATGCTAATGGAAGTGGTCAGATTCCAGCATGCTTACATAATTAATGTGAGCAAAACAAGTGTATAACAAAGGGTTCCCATTTGAAAACAAAAATAAAATATATTAAACAGAATATTTATATAGCTAATTCTGTACACTATTAATTTGCATAAATTATAATAAGGGAAGTTTTATAATGTCAATGTCTCTTTGGGTTCAGCTATGCTTACTCATTTAAAGTATTAATTTGGGAAATAATTTTACTCACATGTTTACTTCATCTTCATTTAGTAACTGCATCACCAGTAGGGTAATATGAAAGGATCCATCACTGGTCATTGCTTTGGCCAGTCGCTTATCTTGTTTTATTATTGCATTTTGCAAAATCTTAATTCCTTTTATAATCTGTGTACATAAACACACACACACAAAATAGACTAGATAAGCAAAATTTCTTTATTATTAAATGTAAATACAGAAGAAAAATAAGCAACAATCAAAAAACAAAGTCAAAAGTCTTCAACCATACAATGTTGAACTGTCTATTTGATTTCAAATATCCTGGATAGATGACTTGGAAAGCTTACTAAGATGTTTAAGAAAAAAATCACACAAAGCTTGTCCACCTTAAGAGCTTCAAGCCCAACCACCTTACTTAACAGATTGGGATTCAGTAGAAAAATTCTGAATGGCTATGCATCTTTTCAGCAACTTGTCCTTGAATACAGAGTATGACTTATGATCTTTCCTAAAAATAGTTTAATTCTTGCCACAGAAAGGTCAAACAAGCAGACAACATTCCATTTCTGTTGGAAGTAATATTCATTTGTCCCCAAGTGATTGTGTCTGAGAAGCAATTCTTCTTGGCCTTTAAGATTTTTTAGGACAGCAATAATTTCCAAAAGAATGACTACTGTTATTTTTCCAGACATAACTGAGAAGTTGCAAAGAATTCTAAATGCATATATTAGAACAGCCCTAACAGTCTGCATCCAGGAGAATCTCCAGGTACCTCATCAGCCTTCCTGGCCCCTACTCCTCTTAAACAAAAGGAACGACACCTTTTCCCGCCTCTATTTCCAGTCAGATCCAATGCTCCTCCACCTCTAAATGTGACTATATTAGTTGGAATATGAAATAGCAAACTGAGGCAGAACTCAGACAACAGAGAGCACTCAAGAGCCTTGTAGGAACAGAAATATCCTGAGGCATTGACAGAGAAAGAAAAAAGGGGTAAGAGAAGCAGGGCTCATCAAAGATAGAGGGATATGAAAAAAAAAAAAACAAAAAACTGAATCATGAGCACAGCAGACTGTTCTGATACTAGAGGCGCTGTTTTATCCTCAACAATGTCCCCATTATCTGTGGAATGTGATGAGACACATCACGAGATGCTGTCCTGGGATCAGACTTCCCACGTATTTTTTTATAATAAATGCACATCACCCAAATTAACCTCAACATTTCCTGATTCCTTGCAATCTGGAAGAGAGTCACACAGGAAACAGTGTTTTCCTGGTAGGAAGTTATGCAATAGTACCTAACATAATATTTCCCAAGGCAAGAAGATGTCATATCTATGGAGCCCAACAAAGAATACTGATCACCCGATAAATAAAATGCTCCTAACATAGCTATACAAAAAGACCTGATGGAGTTAGTTTCCTCTATGTCAATAATGTTTCTTTCTCCAACCCTGCTGTTTCACTGCTATGCTTGGTAATAACAAAAACAGGGCTTCCCTGGTGGTACAAGGATTAAGTAAGTCTCAGGACAATGAAGCTATCAGCAGCCACTGCAGCATGAGTTCTACCTTTGCCAGGGAGCTGACCCACGTGGTGCAGCAGACCTTTCTTGACTTGCCCACCGCTCCCCTCAGCAGTGTATTTCAGTCAATGTGCCTGTTTTGTTCCCCACTGCCTCTGGTGAATCCTCTCGCCCCCACACCTCTGGCCTACACCCCAGCTCTCAAATACATAAATAAAAATAAATCTTTTTTTTTTTCAAGAAATAATCCATTTTAACACAAGTTCTGTCACAGCTGTGGCTCTATACAAGTTACCAGGTCTACCTGAGTCTTGTTTTTTTCCACTGTGTAAAGTAGGAATAATAAAACCTCCCTTTCCAAACTTCATAGGGTTGTGTTAGAGATCAGAGTAATCAGGTGACATGAAAGTGCTTTGTAAGCCCTATTAGGCTACTGTCTAATATAAGGTATGCAACATTGCCAATATTATTAAAATCAGTGGTTCTCTGCTAGCCTGGGCAATCTGCCTCCCAAAGACAGTTTGTCACAAATGGGGTTTGTTATTGTAAGGAGGTAATCCGCAGGGAGGTTCCAGTTTCCCTGCTCCACCCAAGGAAAGGGGGAACAGAGCACAGAGAAGTTGAAGGAGAAGCTCGAAGAAGGAAGGGAGAAGGGAAGAAGGAGACCTGGAGGAGGCATGTGGAACAGAGACCTATGAAGAAGCTGTGCGCTTCTTGGCCTTAGGCTGTAGCAGCTACGTGAGACAACATGGAAGGAAACACTTGGGACAGATGTGGGTGAGAGACCCAGGGAAAGTTGACAATGGCAGTTTTTTTCTTGATTCTGATTTTGCTCTTTTCCTTCCAGACTTGCTTGGCCCCTTCTGTCTCTTTTCTGTGGTTCCCCACCAGAAAGTGCCTTAGACTTGTAGCAGGCTTTCAGGCCTCTTGGCCCTGCTTTGTGCCAGACCTATCTGGCCAGGCATTTCCCCACAAGGGGATGGGTAACTGTGTCTGTTTCATGTGAAAACTATTTTATCTATTATAAGATTTCTGCAATATCTTTATTGCACACTAGTTGTATTAAAAGTTCCTTTCCAGGTGATGGCACATGGGTGATTTGGTGATGGGAAGCCCACGGGGATTACAACTGAGATGAAAAAATACACAAAATGGTGTAAAAATAAACTATTATATTATAAAAAAAAATAAAGTCATCACTTAGTTTACAAAAAAAAAAATTAGTTGATAAGCCAAAACAAAAAAAGTTCCTTTCCATTAAAGGTCTTAGACACAAGAGTTTGTTTTATACTGATGTAGCAGATGGCAGAATCTAGGCAGTTTTGGGGGATCTGGGGTGCTGCTCACCCTACCAGGTAACACTGCTTCCACCTAGTGGGTGCAGTATTCACGTTTTCCTAAAATAATGTTCAAATTCAGGTATTAATTATATATAAATTCAGGACAATGCTAAAAAAAATTCAACTATCTGTACACTCAGCCTTTTAGTAGAGTTTCCTAAGTGATAAAATACAACAGTTTTAGGCCATATTTATATGTTTGAATTTTCCAATAACTCATACATAAAATTGCAAATTAAAAATACTTTGAAGACTATTTCCCTGCAACCACACTTTACTTATAAAGGACAGTTGAACTCAAATCTATGAAAATTCTAGTTAATCTAATCAAGTAATGTTTCTAACTATGCTTTGATTCAACCGTTTAATTTATATATTCCTTGATAACATCTTAAGTTTTTTAAAATGCTTTTTATTCCCAATTACTTTCTTGAAAGATAAAAGAAAAATACTTCAGTCTTCTCTGTATGCTGATTAAAAAAAAAGTACATGTAACATCATTAAAGGCCAAAGGAAACTAATTTTTATAGCTACTATTAAAAGTTCCATAAAGCCATTAAGGCTTATCTGCCACCATAATCCCCAGCTTTTGTCAGTACCGCACAATGAGCATGTTTAAAACCTAATACTACTGAGTGATATTTAAATATGACATTGAAAAAACTTCTAAAAATAAAAATTTTATTAAAATATTAAGTATTCCATCCTTTGAGTAATTTTTTTCTGTTTAGAGAATAAAAGCACCCATCTGCTAAACCTCACCACTAAGTTATATGCCACATGTCTAAAAATGATGCAGTAAGAAAATTCACTTTACTATAAGCTTTGTAATCAACTCATGGCATATATGGTTCAAAGAAAATGCCTTAATTCAGCGTGCTTCTACATGAGGGAGAGGACCTACATTCTAGCACACAGGCCTTTGAGAGGATCTTTCAACAAGGTTTTTGACATTTTTCTAAGCTCTAATATTGTTCCGAAATTTGCTGCCTCGTTAAGATTCATTAGAATTATCACAACATTTTGCTACCTAAGTTTTCTTCACAGCTGAACACTCATTTTTCGTCGTTATCTACAGCCATGAAAAGAAATTGAATTTTTATAATATAGAAGTAAAAGAAGGGGGGGGGAATAATCCTCAAATAGAAGAATTTTCCATATGTACCAAGTGCTTAACATACACAGGATGATATAAAATATTTTTTTAAAGATTTATTTATTTATTCATATAGAACTGGGGTACAAGCCAGAGATGCGGAGGGTCAGAGGATTCACCAGAGACAGAGTGGGGAGCAGAACAGGCAGATCGACAAAGTACACTGCTGAGGGGAGCAGTGGACAGGTCAGGAGAGGTCTGCCGCGCCATGTGGAGCTCCTCCCGGGCAGGCGGGAATCGAACTCATGCGGAAGTGGCTTAAGCTTCTTAGTGCAGTGCTTTACTAATATTACTGCATATCATAAAATAGCTCAGGAAATCAATATATGGGTAAATCCAACTAGAACTAATAATTAAACAATTCAAGCCATGTAAGAAACATTTGAGCTTTACAAATCATTTAAGTTTTATCTTTTTTACTTTTAAGCTGATAGGTAATAGAGATATAGTCATATACTTGCAATTAGGATATGTTTATGCAAATATTCTAATTCATTTTCTAATTTTATTTCTTAAGAGCATGAAATCATCATTTTCCATTAATAAAGGAGTCCAAACATCTACATGTTTTAAAATCAAAGATCCATGTAAGTCTGAATACTTTTTGCTTTAAAACTAGATGCCAACAAGTAGAAGCCAAAAGTGGAGCAATTCAGTGTGAAAGTGTTTGCTTCCAAAAGCTTGTTTGCAAGTCACTTAATTGGAACTTGGAATACAGTCTCCCATTGAAACAATGTTATAAACGCTGCTTCTTTTCCCAAGCCTTCCCACCAAAGTTCCTAAGTAGTTTAAAAAGAAAAATTAACATTAGATTCTTTAAAACAAACAAACAAAAGCTGTTCATTCAAAAGACATAAAAGTACTCCTAATTTTGTCCTACCTTGTGTTCCTCCTCCCCATATTTATATGTCAGCTACAAATAAACCTTGAGAGAAAAACATTATATCATTTGGTTTTGAGGTCACTTAAGACCTCCATTTCTCACTACTCCCTATCACTCTACCTCCTTGACAACAAGTAGCTGTTGTTGTGCCTGAATTGTAAAACCAACAGTCGCAAATGTTCCATTGTGGAACTATTTTTGTTGAGTTTCGTCAGTTCTCCGTATATTTTTGTGATCAGTCCTTTATCGCTACTTTTGTGTGAGAAAATGTTTTCCCAATTAGTGATCTTTCTGTTTGTTTTCAGTAATGTCTCTTTTGCTGTACAGAAGCTCTTTAACTTGATGTAGTCCCATCTATTTATCTTTGCCTTCACTATTGTGGCGTTGGGTGCTCTGTCTTTAAAGATGTCGCTAAAGTGTATGTCGTGTAGTGTTTGACCCCTCTTTGCTTCTAGGTATTTTATGGTTTCCGTTCTTATGTCTAGGTCTTTAATCCACTTCGAGTTGATTTCTGTGACTGTAGTGAGGCAGTGATCTAGTTTCATTTTTTGCATGTAGCTTCCCAGTTTTCCCAGCACCACTTGCTGAACAAATTTTCTTTGTTCCATTGTATCTTCTTTGCTCTTTTGTCAAAAATTAGGTGTCCATAAACTCCTGGGTTTATATCTGGGTTTTCTATTCGAATCCACTGGTCTGTATGTCTATTCTTATTCCAGTACCATGCAGTTTTGATTATTATGGCTTTGTAGTACAGCTTGAAGTTTGGGATTGTAATGCCTCCATTTTGATTTTTCTTAGACATGAGGGTTTTGGCTATTCGAGGTTTTTTGTTGTTCCATGTGAATCTCATCAACATTTTTTCTATTTCTTTGAAGAATGTCATTGAGATTTTTATGGGGATGGCATTAAATCTGTATATTGCTTTTGGCAGGATGGCCATTTTGATGATGTTAATTCTCCCGATCCATGAGCAGGGGATGTCTTTCCATTTCATGGTGTCTTCTTGTATTTCTTTTAACAGTGTTTTGTAATTTTCTTTGTAGAGGTCTTTTACCTCCTTTGTTAGGTTGACTCCCAGGTATTTGATTCTTTTTGTTTTAATTGAAAAGGGGATGGTTTTTTTTAATCTCTGTTTCTTCTGCTTGGTTGTTTGTATATAAGAAAGCCTCTGACTTTTGTGTGTTGATTTTATAACCTGCTACCTTGCTAAACTGGTGGATGGTTTTGATTAGTTCCTCTGTGGAGCTTTTAGGGTTTTCTCCTGCTCCCTTTTAATGCCCAAATGTTTACATGATCCTAAGTTTGAGAGAAAATCTCCAAATAATTTGCAAGTACTTTAATATATAATAGCTGATTATATTAAACTTTGTGTCACCTAAGCATCTAAGCACTTATTGAACTACCAGTCAATATGAGAATATCCACCAGTAAAATAAGGAATGAGAATACCCCCCATGATTCTCTCTACATCAAATTCCAAAATCTTTTATTGCTAATTAATGTAACTTTAAGTATCTTCTTCCCCCAGCTAAACTGTATCTCACAGACTAGATATTTTCCAAAATGCTCTAACAGATTTTTTTCTTTGGTGTTATTGTTTTGACTTCAATTTTGTTTAATTTGATTTTTAATTCATTAGCATTCTCTAGAAATATACTAGTTAAATTAGGGAAAAAGCAAACTGAATATGTACATAGTAAAAAAGATTAGAATCCACAATTAAGCAGACATGCAGACCTGGCTCTTAAGCTGGGCCAAGATGGAAAAACAGACAATTTTCAGGAGTGTTCTCTCCTAAGGTATCTTACTACCTACTGCTTCCCTGCTCCAGAAGTTTCAATTAGATACTTAATTTTTCTTAGTCAGTTAACTGGTCCCACTTAATATTATTCATAGCACATTAATTTTTCTTATTTTTAAAAAGATTTATTTATTTATGCAAACAGAACTGGGGTACAAGCCAGAGGTGCAGGAGTGGTGAGAAGCTTCACCAGAGACAGAGTGGGGAGCAGAACAGGCAGATCGACGAAGTACACTGCTGAGGGGAGCAGCGGGCGGGTTAGGAGAGGTCTGCTGAGGCATGTGGGTCACCTCTGGGGCAGGGATTGAACTCATGCTGAAGTGGCTTTATCTTCTTAGTGCTGTGCTTTAATTTGCAGTGCCACCAGGGAGGGCCCATTTTTCAGATTTTTAATAGATTTCTAGCAAGGTTATCACATTATATTAAGCTGGTACAACAATGAGTAATTTTTTTTAAGGATTTATTTATTTATTCATACAGAACTGGGGTACAGGCCAGAGATGCGGAGGGTGAGAG